AATACACCTGAATGCATTTTTGTTTCCCTTGATTTTAAAAACCTTTTAATATGAAGGCTTCTGCTTAAATGTGCTCATCACACATATTCTTCCTTCATTAGTATTTAAAAGCATCCCACAATGCACCTGAAGAAGTTGGTTAATGAATGTCCAGAGCGAGCAGAGCTGGAAGCAGTTCAAATAAGACAGATTTCATTTATGTCACTACATCATTTCCATATCTGTTATTTCACATTATTATTATTCTAACATGAGAAAAATAGTCATAAAAAGAATGAGGTGAGACTCCTGCCCCCCGTCCTGCTGTTCAATACCTCCTCGTGAAGATCTGAACATCCTCTCCCATAAACACACACACACACAAACACACAGACCCCTCTTTAAAATGAATAGTTTGCCTAGAAACATTAAAGGTGGGGTAAGCAATTTCTGGTAGCCAATGTTGACATTTGAAATCACCAAAACAAACACGACCCTACCCCAAAAGGGTGTCGCCCCTATTTTGATAGCTCCGCCCCACACATACAGTACGTACACAACCCAGGCAACGATTAGTTCTGTGAAACAAAACCAATGTTACACCGTGTCTACACCGGATGCGAGTGGCGCGGCCCAACAAAATACTATAGAACTCATAATCAGTGATGCTGTCTAAACCATAGATATACTGTATATACATATCTATGGTCTACACTAGATGCGGCGCGGCATGACACGAAAAATCCCAGACAGAAAACTGCTGCTGCGTTCTATTTATGACGTATTGACACAAATTTCAAATGATTTTCAACGGTCGCTTTGACCAACGGTGGCCAGTGTACTAGACAGACTTTAGCTGTTGCGGTGCAGACACGGTGTTACTCACCTATCGAGAAGAAACAAAGCAACCTCGGCGTCTGATCGCAGGCCTTCCGCTCCTTGAGTTCTCTCCAGCTCTGGAAAGCTGATCCGATATTTACACGGGTCCTACTTCTTGCCTTAAGCCTTCTTTTGTTCCGCAGACGTTTTCCTCTTTTGTTTTTTCCTCTTTATCTTTCTGTCGCTCGGCTCGCTAATGTCCGTCCTGTGCACTGAAAGCTCTCTCCTCCACATCATGAGTAGACACACCCCTTACTGCTGATTGGCTACAAGTTTGTTTTGCTAGTCGGCCCGAATCAGTTTTCTTGATTTTAAAAACCTTTTAATATGAAGGCTTCTGCTTAAATGTGCTCATCACACATATTCTTCCTTCATTAGTATTTAAAAGCATCCCACAATGCACCTGAAGAAGTTGGTTAATGAATGTCCAGAGCGAGCAGAGCTGGAAGCAGTTCAAATAAGACAGATTTCATTTATGTCACTACATCATTTCCATATCTGTTATTTCACATTATTATTATTCTAACATGAGAAAAATAGTCATAAAAAGAATGAGGTGAGACTCCTGCCCCCCGTCCTGCTGTTCAATACCTCCTCGTGAAGATCTGAACATCCTCTCCCATAAACACACACACACACAAACACACAGACCCCTCTTTAAAATGAATAGTTTGCCTAGAAACATTAAAGGTGGGGTAAGCAATTTCTGGTAGCCAATGTTGACATTTGAAATCACCAAAACAAACACGACCCTACCCCAAAAGGGTGTCGCCCCTATTTTGATAGCTCCGCCCCACACATACAGTACGTACACAACCCAGGCAACGATTAGTTCTGTGAAACAAAACCAATGTTACACCGTGTCTACACCGGATGCGAGTGGCGCGGCCCAACAAAATACTATAGAACTCATAATCAGTGATGCTGTCTAAACCATAGATATACTGTATATACATATCTATGGTCTACACTAGATGCGGCGCGGCATGACACGAAAAATCCCAGACAGAAAACTGCTGCTGCGTTCTATTTATGATGTATTGACACAAATTTCAAATGATTTTCAATGGTCGCTTTGACCAACGGTGGCCAGTGTACTAGACAGACTTTAGCTGTTGCGGCGCAGACACGGTGTTACTCACCTATCGAGAAGAAACAAAGCAACCTCGGCGTCTGATCGCAGGCCTTCCGCTCCTTGAGTTCTCTCCAGCTCTGGAAAGCTGATCCGATATTTACACGGGTCCTACTTCTTGCCTTAAGCCTTCTTTTGTTCCGCAGACGTTTTCCTCTTTTGTTTTTTCCTCTTTATCTTTCTGTCGCTCGGCTCGCTAATGTCCGTCCTGTGCACTGAAAGCTCTCTCCTCCACATCATGAGTAGACACACCCCTTACTGCTGATTGGCTACAAGTTTGTTTTGCTAGTCGGCCCGAATCAGTTTTCTAAAGCGTTTTTGAAAAATCGCTTACCCCACCTTTAACTTCATACAAGTACCTGTGCTTCTTGAGATGAGCTCATGTCTTATTTCCTGTGGTCTGCAATGACCACACACTGTCCACATGAAACTCATCAGCCAGCCTTTGATGCTCCTAATAACCATTCCCAAAGATTCCCTTCGGCACAGCCGAATAAAGTCCATTCGCTCATTATCATCCAGGGTTTAAGACAATAACTCGCACATTATCCATCATGTTATTACTTCCACAATCTAAACAGGGGTGTCGGAGTATCAAGTCCATCTGAACCTAATTTTGGTTATTTTTAAATTCCTCCCTGTGAGGATTTTCCCAGAAAGTCCTGTGCTTGAACAGATAAACAGTTTACATGATATAAACACTGACGTTATAATAGGACATACAGTAGAAGTCATGCATGACTAACATGCGATTTGAAGGAATATTATTGGTTAGTAGTAGAAGTTGTTATTATTGCCATGTCAGCATCTAAGGCTCTTCATGGAAATATTATGGGTTAGAATGACAAAAATGTTCAGTTAATTTCTGTGAAAAGAATCAATTAGCTATTTTAATTAAAAATCAATTATTCTTTGAAGCATTTTTCATCTATTATTTATTAATTTTCTATCATCTATTAATTTTTCCCTATTTTCAAAAATGTAATCACTCAAAAACATTCAGAATAGCCTTTTTATAAAAACACAAGTGACAATATTACAATTTAAAATAGCTGTTTTCAATGTGAATATGTTGTAAAATGTAATTTATTGTTGTGATCAAAGCTGAATTTCTAGCATCATTACTCCAGTCTTCAGTCTCATGATCTTCAGAAATCATTCTAATATGCTGATTTGCTGCTCGAGAAACATTTCTGATTATCATCCATGTTGAAAACAGTTATGCTGCCCAATATTTTTGTGGAAACTTGATTCTTTGATGAATAGAAAGTTCAAAAGAACAGCATTTATTTGATATAGAAATCACTTTGGTCACATTTTGAATGTCTTTACTGCCACTTTAAATCATTTTAATGCATCCCTGCTGAATAAAAATATTAATGTTTTGCAAAAAAAAATTTACCGGCCCCAAACTTTTGATCTGTAGTACAAAGTAAAATGATTAAATATGATTTTTGCTTTAGCTCATTTAAAACTACATGCAACTGTCCCAAACAACATTTTTGAGATCTGTGGAGGTCCAAACAAACCTCAGTCTCGTGTGTTTCCGATGTCTGTAATAAATCCCTCCCTGAGGATCCGGTACTCCAGGGGGATCTCATTTGGACATTTATCTTTCTTTAATTGTCAGACTAATGAAATGTGCAAAGGGCAAATTCATTTGAGCGCGTCACCTGCTTCCGGTGCCTTCAAAGCATCGATCCCCTTTTCAAAGAGAGCTGCTGAATCCACACACATGAGGAGCAGATGTGAGCGAGAGGCCAAAGTGACCACGGAAAGAATTTCAATCCTCTGTGCTAAATCCTCCAAAGACAAAGCCAGAGACAAGCAGCAAACCCTTTGAAGATCTCAGCTGCTCATGGCCTTGTCCTTAACACAGAGATGGTGTGAAAACACCTCAGACTGTGTTTACATACACACACACACACACACTCACACTTGTGTTTGTATGTACACACACTAACTCAATCAACATGCAAATGAACTTCAACCTTACATACAAAAATATAAACAGTCAAAACTAAATAAATGCACAAGAACGCACATTAATACAGCTGGATGAACAATTTGAAATGCAGAAACAAAGAGGAAAACAAAAGTCTCCAACCTTAGAATCTCAATATGAACTCAAATTGTGATTTTTTTATCACATTAAGCACATTTCCCCACCAATTTTCATTATCATAGATATAAAAAAAAAAAAACATTCTCATTACTGTGATACCAAAAAAATAAATCTATAATACATAAATCTAATCTAATATAATAAAAAGGTTTGAATACTTCTATTTATATACTGTCTTTAATTTATGCGGATTAAAAATAATAATAATAATTATTATACAAAATTACTGTATTGCAGTAACAAGAATTTAATAACATGGAGAATATTGTTCATTACATAAAAGCTAAAAAGAAAAACTTGAATTTGGGAGGAAATAATTTCATAACGCAAAAAAACAAAAAAAAACATTTGGCAACATGCCTTGTAATTCACCTTATAATGAATTCATTAATAATTGTAACCACAGTTAAAATACATTATAATGCTTCTCTATTCATTATTACACAGAAAAATATAATGCACTAAAACTCATGACAAGAAACCAATTCCAGGTGTAACAAGGAATCTGCACATATAATGCATTTTAACTTTGGTTGTAATTATTTATAAAATATGTAATGCATTACAACATTTATTATGAATACCTTTATAATGCATTATTCATAAGGGCCTCATCTGAAGTGTGACTAAAAACAGTAATAAAATACAAATATATCCTCTTTATTTCTTTCTTTTCATTTCAGGGTGCCCTGGACATGTTCTTGTGAGATTCACTCCGAAACTTCACCGTTCAAGTTTGTAATTTCTGCACTGCTAGCAAAACCAAACTGAATTACAGAACAGCAGCTGTTGCCAAACCAGTGCAACCCATCGCTCAGCCAAAAAAACTGCTGATGTCCGGACATGTCGATGCTTTTAAATGGATAAAATGATAAATATCCCAACCTGGAGACTTCTTGGTCGGGTGAGCTGCCATCATGTACGTCTGTCGGGGCAGGAGAGGGGATGACGGGAGGGACATGGACACCCCTTTAGCCAGGCCGAGTCTGAGGCCGTCGTCTGCGGGCCGGAACGGACGGACACCCGCGGGATCCTGCATCCCACCGCCGGGACACCTGCGCTGGGCACGGAACAGGTACGGCTCTCCTGACCACGCACAAACAACAAGACTTGTTTTAAATGTCCTATTAGCACATATTGACAGTAAAATAATTGCAAATATATTGCACATCCTCTAAATATTGCCCAGCTTCTTCACAGAGCAGAAAACACTGTTAACAGGTCGATAAACATCTGAAATAATCAAGTTAACAGCCCCTGTGAAACTGACAGGCACGTTTAGCCTTAACATGAGTTAACAGACACTCTCCTAACAAAAGATCGATTCAGTCATCTTAATAAAAACAAATAGAGCCACTGAGATTGAGTTTAGATTAAAAATGTGGCAAAATCCACAAATGGTTTTCAATGTAAACCCTGAACGTCATTAAGAGAATAAAAACTAATTAGCAGAGCTCAATAATAATACAGAACAATGGGTCTCAGATGTATTTTCATTACACGCACTGATTAAACACTGCTTCTCCAGTCTTTCTTTTCTCCATCTTACTGGTTTTTTTTATTATTATTTTCTTGCTTTTAATGTTTAAAGAACTGCTGTTAAACCTGATGAGCTGGGATTGTTTTGTGCCACTTTAGGTGAAATAACTAGAGGCTTCTGGGAAAACTCATCTATTTGCTATTTACTATTTGAATGCAATACTAACCTAGTGAACACTGTGCAGTGTATACTGAATACTGCCTACTATTGTTTTTTTTTGCTTTGTTTTTTTTAAATACAATTAGAAATACTTTTATACACTATTTAAAAATGGATTATGCAATAACTAACATTTCAAACAGTAGTATGCTACAATTTCGGTCACATCAGCATCTGGGCTATAATAGTTAACTAAAACTTTGTTACTTGGTGGAAAAAATAAACTCTACATGAAATGAAACACAATTCAATAATTTATTTTAACTTGACATACTAAAATAACTACAACTAAAAACTAAATAAAAATTAATAAAAACTACATAAGACACATTTTAAAAAAATAATAATAAAATAATAATAATAATGACAAAAACACAATAAAATTATTGTAATAGTAAAATGTAAATAGTAATAGTAAACTGCAATTCAATTAATTTAGTTTAAATTACTAAAATAACCACAACTAAAAATTAAATAAATATTAATAAAAACTACACAGATATATTTAAAAAATAATAACAGTAATGACAAAAACACTAAATAAAATTACTAAAACTTTTACTAAAATTTAAAAAACAGAAAAATATTTATAAAAACTATAATAGTATCTCAATGATACCAAAATAACCCTGACCAGCATGCAGTTATCTAGTAAAATAGCAGTTTTTTTTTTACTTTGATTAATTTATTTTACATTTTATTACTTTTATTAATTAATTAGATTACATTTGAATCCAATTTTGAAAATGTCGTAATCAGCAGCGAGATTAAACGACGCATCAATATAGAGACGTTTAAATCACAGCGGTCATTTCCAGTTGATGGAATGAGATGGAAGGTCAAGTTAAGTATACTGCATTATCGCTTTATTGCATACTGTGCATTTAATTTATCTGGACATTCAATGCATTCAGTGCAAGTAGACATTCTATTTACTGTAGAAACACACAGTATGACAGTACATTATTGTGAACATAGTGTCTTTCTCTCACTTCCTCTCTTCTCCCACTCACTCTCTCCCACTGATGAAGAGCAAAACAAATATGTCTAGTGTTTGAAAAGACAACGAAATAGTGAGGAACGCCAGAAAACAGGAAGTCAGCGTGCCCTAGTCACACCTCCGCTCTCTTTCAACACCCACTGGGGTCACGAGCGTCTGATCAGAGCAACCTCTGACAAGAGCGATAACCGATGAGGTCACAGCTAAAGAAAAGTGTAAGCTGCAGTTTATTCCGGCCAAAAACACCCACTTGGACAGGAAGAGATCATCTGACCGACATGCAAAATATCTCAACATAGTGCCTTTTAGCAGTGAGTTTAGGCAAGGTCACGCTTAGATATTTCTATAGTGCTTTATAGAATACAGAGCAATTCAAAGCAGCTTCACAGTAATAAACAGGAAAATGACAGTGTTAATGTTTCAACTGTAATGCATCTCTATAGAAGATAATGGTTCCGTTATTCAGCTCAATGTTGATTCAATTAAGTTCAATATTGTGTCAATGTTGCAAAGAATTATTTATATTGCACATTTCAAACATAATGGTACCTGACTGTATTTTGCATAAAAAAAACAATCCTAAAACGCATGTACAAAATGAAAAATATAAATATTTGATAAATATTTATATAAATATAAAAATTATTTTGCATTTTTTATTCCAATTTTATATAAACATATCTTAATCTGCAGTCGATGTGTTAAAATAGTGATGTTAAAAATAAAAGCTGCCATTACTTACTATACAACAAATACAATTAAATTAAAAGCATTTAAAATATAGGAATGAGGAGGAAAGAAGTAATGAGGGAATTTTTTATTTTTTTTTTAATTACAGAAATAAAATTATAGAGTGCTATCTGTAGGATGTTGCAGGATTGCATCAACTATTTCAGTTTATCTGAAATGGCAGATACAATAAAAATACAGATGTGGAGGAAAAACAAAAATAATGGAACAGGAGTTTGTGTTCCTAATTGGCTTTATCGAAAACAATACAAAAATTGCAAGAAATTATTTTTATTGCAATTTGTAAGAGACTTTGTAATCCCCATTATTCGATATGATTATTTAACAATTCAAAAACAAAAGAAGGATATAAGCTACAGTTCTGCCATATCAAATTTACTTGCAGCCTTAAATGACACTCTGTAGATCTTTTAGTGACCTGGAAAACTAAGCTGGAAAATCCAGTGATTCCTTCACACAACTGTTTCCAGTCAGACTCATGCAGCTTGATAGTTTTTGTGCAATATGCATTCAGTGAACACTGAACGTGCAATGTCACTGAATCACCCGACCAACAGAGGCTGCAATGAAACCAGCTAAGAGTGAAATTATGACTGTGTTCATGTTATTGGCCCAAACCTCCTGTGCTATATATAATTCACACCATCTTACCCAAACAGCTGTGAATCATTCATGATTGGTGGCTTGGCACAGAGAGACTTGTGTCATGAATCATTTGCAAAACAAACTATAAATTCTACGACCACCCTTTCCTTCCTTGAGACAGAGAGACAACGAAGACCAACATCTTCCTTTACAGCTTGAAGTAAAAACTATAGACGTCTCTTTCTGCCATAGAATAAAAATAATAATAAAAAAGTAACTGACTTTTTAACTCACAAATGAAAAGAAGTCAGGATGTAAACTCAGAATTTAAAGAAAAAGGTCAAAATTGCGAGATGTAAACTCATAATTCAGAGAAAAAGTCAGAATTGTGAGATGTAAACTCAGAATTTAGAGGGGAAAAAAGCCATAAATGCAAGATGTAAACTTGGAACTCTAAGAAAAAAGTCAGAATTCTTCGTTTATTTCTCACAACTCTGTCAATTCTAAGAAAAATACTCAGAATTTTGAGATAAAATGTCGCAATTATTTTTTTTATTCTGTGGCAGAAACAGGCTTCCATAAAAAAAACACCTTTAAACTACTTTTGCCACTTTCAGTCGGATAAGAGCAAAACAGGTGTTATGAGAGGCAGGTGAAGAGTCATATTTTAGCATGATTGCAGTGCTGTATTGATCAAACTACACTTGTCAAAAATAATAGTTCTGAAAATGTCAGTGTTTTGAGTGAGAGCTGGAATCAAGCAGCTCTCAAAAACACAGACAAATGACTTTCGAGCCTCTTCCATTTAGACAAAACAATGCTGAAGTCAAGCCTGACATTTGAAGAGTCGAGGACAGAGATCTTTTGTGAGTCATTCTCGCTAGCATCAGACCACAACACTGAGAGTGCATATTTCAGACAGAAGAATGTACTCTTCATATCATGCTAGACAGATGTCAGGACTGCCCTGTCATTAGGCTGGAAAACATAACTACACTGACTTCCTTTGGATTGCCTAAAAATGCTGCCTATGTAGGCAGCACACTAGATTTTGGAAAAGCGCCTGAGACAGGCTGAATCATGACAGGTCGATCACAGACAGCCTTCGAGAAACTAAAGGGAAGACAGACTGAAGTGAAGAGACAGAAAAGTAGAGAGAAAGGCAGTTTGAGTGACACTAAAGTAAACTAACCAAACCTACATTTGCTCTTTGGGTCCAAAGCAAACTGCACGCTGCAGACCGGCAATTTCAGCTGCGCTCTAACCCATGAAACCAGGCCTAACTAATTATACCGGTGAACTGATCTGAGCTGAGCTGATTACAACCTCTCTAGACCTTCCTAGCCAATACAGACAGAGACTTCTAATTATAATAGTCTGATTATATTTATAAAGACTGATTAGACCAGGACTGATGTTTAATAAATGTAATGCACAAGGGAGAGGTTGCAATTTTACTTATAGTGAAACCTCCACCAAAACACATCTAATATTGGTGCATATAAATGTAAAAGTGATTAAATATCACTCTTCCACACGTTCATTTTGTAAAAAACAATGCAAAAAAGGCCTTGATATTTTAAAGTGAGATTTTTACTGTATTTTACTTCTTACATTAAATATTTTGGGTCTTCCTGATTACAATGGCTGTTTGATTAAAATGTCAACAAAAAAATAAATACATAAACAACTAATAAATGGACAGATAATTATAAAATAATCATGGATAAATAAATAAATAAAAATCATTCAATTTTGAGCAAAATCATATATCTCAGTAAATATTACCTTCCACGTGTTCATTTAGTGAAAAACAGTGCAATTTTTCGGGGATTTTTTTTAAGCTACATTTTTACCATATTTACTGTATTTTAACTGCATTTGACTTCTTACATTATTTTGAGTCTGCCTGACTACAATGATGTTTGCTTAACATTACAATAAAAAATAAATACATAAATAATAAACAGACAAATACATGATCATAGATGGCTAAAATAAATAAATAAATAAAATAATTTAAGCCATTTTAGAGCAAAACCACATCAGTAA